CCGGGCCCTCTGACCACCACCAGTAGGCAACGGGTGAAGTGTCTTGCCCAAGGACACAACGACTGAGACTGTTGGAGCTGGGGAACCGGGGGTCATGAGCTGTGGGTAGTGACTGAAAGAACGAGGTCATGGATACAAGCGGCAGAAGTGAGCTTCCTCCCAAGGGTGGCTGGCCTCTCCCTTAACCTCTTAAGCCCCAAGCCTAACTGATCTCCTGCCTTTTGCCCCCGTATCAGGGGGCGTTGGGGCTTAAGAGGTTAAAGATAGGGTTAGAAGGTCAGCCATCCAGGAGGGGCTCAGAGTAGAGCTGCTGCTCCTCTACATCGAAATGAGCCAGTTGAGGTGGTTTAGGCATCTGATAAGGATAACTCCCTGGTGCCTCCTGAGTGAGGTGTTCCCAGCATGTCCCACCAGCAGGAGGCCCCAGGGCAGACCCAGAACATGCTGGAAAGATTATATGTCTCGGGTGGCCAAGGCAGATAGATGGACAGATGGATGGATGGATGGATGGATGGATGGATGGATGGCAATATAGTAGTTGATGATGTAGTTACATACTGCTGACTAAAGTTTATGTGTTAGAAATTATAAACAAAATTTTGAGACTGACAAGGCTGTAAATGAGCAATGTGAGATTAGTAAACCTAAACATAGAACAAGATAGTGGAACCTCTCTATGTGCCATTCTGAAGGCAAAACAGGACACAGACCCTCTGAAGGCTGAGGAAAAAGGTGCCCGAGGTAGAACCATCCACTTGGACAATGAGGATGCCCAGTGATGGTCAGGCAGGGTGATTGATCAGCACGCCATCAATGAGACAGGACAAATAATTGGAAATCAAGGTGGAGCTAACCAGCCAGTGGTGAATTTCCAGTGGTGAAGTTGCTAGTCTAAAGATAGAATATGGTAAAGCCAGAGATGTAACTGAGTCCTCTCAGGTGGATAAACATGTGGCCAACCACAGAGACACAGCCAATCTGAAGGCCAGGCACATAGCCATCAGTGGCCTTAGTCTTCGGTTCAGCCAGCTCCAGTTCAGGAACAGGACGCTGCCTCGAGATCTGGGCCATGCAGGCTCATGCGCCTCAAAATCCTGGGTTCAGGATCATCTGCCTCAGGATTAGCTAGTTCAGGAACAGGAGGCACAATTTCTCGGGTAATCAGCTCAGTCACATCAGACTCCAAGAAGACTAGCCACATCTTTCAAGACTTAGAGGAATACCACAGGTTGACTCTACTCTGGTAAGGTGCTGGCTTAAGCAGAACAACCCAGGTTCAGAGGAAACAAGAAGAGGCATGGTCCTGCCATCTAGCATTGAACAATGCAGGTGTGAGGAATGTAGATAGAGGGTGTGACCACGAATAAAAGCTAAAAGGCTGGGTAATTTGGACAAGGCTGAGAGGTTGGTGCAGTATAGACTTCTTGGCAATTATTCCCACAGAAGCAGATAGAGCAATAACCCAAATCCTTACATCAGGATAATCCACAAAGCGATTAGAGACAGTCAGCAGTCTCATGCCTCATTTTCCACAGTGTTAATAGTGCCTTTGTGTCTATACTGGTCATGGCATTCTGTCAATCTGACTGACTGACTGACTGACTGACTGAAAGAAGTCAGTAAGAAATAAAATACAAACTGAATCCAATATCATGAAAAAGGTTGAAGGGGAGGACAGCACTAATCAGGGAAGTAGAAACAGGGGGGGATTGAGGCAAAGCTGTAGAAAAAAAGAGTGAGATTTTTCTGAGAACTGGCAACTGGAACCCACAAGCAACATGAAGAAAATGATTAAATTCACCAGCAGCTTCAAAATTTGGGTGATTGTAAAACGAAGGCTTATTGTAGTATATAAGACTGAACACGTCTTTAACTGACAACCCAGTTAGTATTTTGGGAAATGAGGAGTACTGAAGAGAGAACAGTGCAGTAACAGAACACTGGTTCACTCAAATTGCTTTTGATATGAACAAAACGTGAGTTTTTTTCTATTCATTTTTGAAGAGTTGATGATTATCACGTATGGATTCACTACAGGCTGGGTCTTGTGTTCTTATGGTCCGGATGTTACTTTAATAACAATTACAACCAGAATTATTTCAGAAATGCTGACAATTTCTGCTCCTACACATGTATTCTCTATTGAATTGAGTACTGATGACCACTTAAGATTTTATCCAATTTGTAGATACCAGCATCCATTACAGTGATTTTTTAAAAATTGTGCACACCTGCTTTTTTTCAACAAAAAAAATTACAAAATTAAGGGATGAGCACCTATTTACTTACAAAGATTTATTAGAGGCATTGACCACTGGCAGCAACCTCAGAAGAGCCTCCTCTGAAGAGTATTTCTGCTGTTCAAACACATCCAGATCTTTTCTTGATGACATTAAGATGAAAAGCAGAGCTGACCACTGAGCGTGAGACAGATTACGAGTGGAGAGACTTCCTGATCTCATGTACAACTGGATCTCCTCCACTAGAGAACGATCATTCAGTTCATTCAGACAGTGGAACAGATTGATGCTTGTCTCAAAAGACAGATTCTCACTGAGCTTCTTCTTGATGTACTGGACTGTTTCCTGATTGGTCTGTGAGCTACTTCCTGTCTCTGTCAGCAGACCTCGTAGGAGAGTCTTACTGGTCTGCAGAGAAAGACCCAGGAGGAAACGGAGGAACAAGTCCAGGTGTCCATTTGGACTCTGTAAGGCCTTGTCCACAGCACTCTGGTAGAAGAGTTTCTCTGCAGATTCTCTTGTTTCAGACTTCTGAGAGGTTGTTTGCTGTTCTTCCAGCAGATTGAGTCCAGAGCTGATGAAGGTCAGATGGACATGAAGAGCAGCCAGAAACTCCTGAACACTCAGATGGATGAAGCAGAACACCCTGTCCTGGTACAGTCCTCTCTCCTCTTTAAAGATCTGTGTGAACACTCCTGAGTACACTGAGGCTGCTCTGATATCGATGCCACACTCTGTCAGGTCTGATTCATAGAAGATCAGGTTTCCTTTCTGCAGCTGATCAAAAGCCAGTTTTCCCAGAGACTCCATCATCTTCTTGCTCTCTGGACTCCAGTGTGGATCTGTCTCAGCTCCTCCATCATACTTGACCTTCTTCACTTTGGCCTGAACCACCAGGAAGTGGATGTACATCTCAGTCAGGGTCTTGGGCAGCTGTCCTCCCTCTCTGGTTTCAACCACATCCTCCAGAACTGTAGCAGTGATCCAGCAGAAGACTGGGATGTGGCACATGATGTGGAAGCTTCGTGATGTCTTGATGTGGGAGATGATCCTGCTGGCCTGCTCCTCATCTCTGAATCTCTTCCTGAAGTACTCCTCCTTCTGTGGG